AGCCCCTTGCCAATGCAGCGATCGACTCCTGGTTTTGATTGCCGCTCACATCGGGCAACAGAACGCGCTGAAGGAATTTCGGCGATTGTGTTTTTTTCCAAGTTGGGAGGGAGAGAGGCAGATGGCGATAATATGGCGTGTATACAATAAATATACGTGTGTGTTTCAGAACCAAAACTAGAAAGCTCTTTTGGGGCCATCGTAACACAAACACCTCCACCCGTTTCGACACACACGTGGATTTAAAATCCCGAATGTAAAATGCCCATAGGTGAGAAAGTTATAGGATCTCAAAATGTCCGTTCATGGGACCGTCCGTCACGCAGGAAGTCCCATTGCGGTTGCAGGGTCGACCTTCATTCTGCAGTGGCTGCTGAATTAGCAGTGAGATGCGCAACGCAATTAGCCTCTACTCTTGTCCGCGTTGCTTGCCCATGGGGCCAGTTCGCAAAACCGGATGCGTCAATGTTGTGAGGACTTGGGCAAAACCTTTGCCTTGGTCCTTTCCCAGCTTGTCAGGTCCTGCGGATTAAGATATGTGCATCAGAATGCTGGATGCACATTTCGCTGATGTTTTGTGGTCTGAGTAAAACGTTCAACATATGTAAGGGCTATGACTGGACATACCAACTGCTTCAAATAGTGCAAGATCTAAGTAAAAAGGGGTGACACGGGTGACGGTTCACCCGCACCTAAAAGGACGAGCAGCAGAGAACAACTGCCTCAAACCTCGGCGATAGAGGGGTCTCCTGTCAGCTGTATTTGCCATGCAATTGATATGAATGTCTCTCACATCTTTGCCAAGCCTTTCAACTCTTCAAAAAGTCCAAAAATAAAAAGTGAGATGCGATGCAATGCGCTCGGAATTCGGGGGCTTGGGAATTGCTTCGCAGATGGATTTGTGCGTGAATGCCGGCCATTCCATCCAGGAGGGACCAGGTGTGCCCCATGTGGATCTCGGTTTGCTCCACTAGGTCCCCCAGTAGTGCCCCTGTACCCTTTTTTGGGAAGGGTTCCCCTACTAAAATAGACCACAGAAAAAAGTTGGTACCAAATTGTGGACTTCAGAGGGCGGCTCCGTGCGATTGCCAGCCACGTTTGATGTTTGCAGATGATCCCTACCGAGATTTTTTGACTCAGGGACCCAAAGTCGAGCCAGGGGGGTTGACGCTGCCACACCAAGGGGTCCATCTAAGAAAAATGGCAAGAGCATTGTTCCCTTCCAGTTTGAAAGAGGAAAATGGAAATTGGTGCCCTGGGGAAGCGTGGAAAGCTACTGGAATTTTATTGGAATGGGTCTGGTTTGCGTTTCACTGGAGTTTCACCTAGAATTTTACAGGAGCTGTGCTTGAGTTTCACAAGAAGTTACAGTGGCAGTTCATCGGAGTTGCACTGGAATTTCGTTGGAGTTAATTGGAGTTGTGGCGCGGAACATTGATAATTTCACTGTTGGAACCCGATTAGTAATCTCCCTCCGACTAATGCTAACCTGCTCCCCCCTGAGTCTGCGCAGTGCGCTCATGGACAAGCAAAGGCTAGGATGCAGTTGTTGAACCTATGATCAACCAGAAAAAGGTATGCCTTTGCTTGCATGTCGCACGCCAGTCTATCGCACTCCCATGTCCGCTGAATCTGCCAGTCTCCTCACCAATACTAGCTTCCATTTCAGACAATGTTGGAATTGGTCACCCCGTATTTGTGTTTTTTCTACCCTTAAGACCCTCCGATTAGTGCGAAGCTTCCTCCCCCCGCCTAGAAAAACACCAAACACGAATACCTTTCTCCAGTACTACTTTTTTCAGAGTTCCATGAATTGCCACAACACATCTCCAAAATATCAGCTACCCAGAAAGAGGCAAACGTATTACGACAGTTTGTTTAAACAAACAAGTTTGACAAGATCGCAAAGGGTACCCCCCTTCCTTGAAGGCCAGGCCCCCCAATACAAAAACTCCCCCCCAATACAAAAACTCCCCTGATTGATCATGACTCTCTCCACCTCTGGAGAGACAATTTCCTGTTACTTTCCTTTTGCAGTCCTAGAGGACCAAAGAGGAGGGGAATTCGGGGGGTGCTGGCTGCTGGTGGAGCTTACTCAGCAGCAATCATTCGAGCTTCATGGAAAGTGTACTGGAGGCCTGGTGCGGGTGGGTCTCGCAAAGATTGTTTTGCAGAAGTGTAAGCGCTTTAGCTGCGAAAAGGATGGATTCGATTTGGGGATATGTCCAGATACGGCGGCGACCAATATGGCGGTCTCGGTTTCCCTTTGCACCGACCTAAAAGGGGTACCCTCAACAAGCACAAGCCTTTTTGATGAATTGTGTTTCACTGCCTTGGGTTTTTCCAGAAGGCGAGCTAAGGGGCTAAGAGGGTTGACCATCCAACTTTTGCCGCCGCAACATGGTCGATTTGGGGAATATCTCCATAGAAGGGAAAACCCCACATTTCCTCACATTTCCTGGAGATTCCGACCCACGAAGACCTACCACGTGTAATGGCGTTTTTTTTCTTCTTCTTCTTTTTTTTTCTCGAATTTTAGGCTTCTCTTCAAAAGAACCCCAACAGCTTCCCCCCCCCCCCCCCAAAGAAAATCGACGACACCTCTCAGCTGTAGGCTCGCCGCCCCTGAGCTTGCTATCACCTGAAGGCTGGGAAATGAGCCAGGACTCGACGGGTTGGTGTGGCATTTTGATCGGGGGATAGGTCCCATAGGGTCCAGGTGGATTCATCCGGCTCTTGAAAAGGTGTGTTGGCACTCCTATGTTTCTTCCCCCTTTCCAGTCACTCCTCCAAATGTGGTGGACACTTAGGCTACATGTTGCAAGTTGCGACCTCCTTCATTGGTTGCGTTGGGGTTTGGCGCCGCAAAATCGTGTCTAAGCTCCCCCCCACCCATTTACCACCCATTAAAGCACTGATGCTTGAGTGGAAAGGCAGAACTTCGCATATGTCCCTTGGGTGATTGAGCATCAGCTTTCCAGACCTAGCATCAAGGTGTTTCTTAATGGATCTCTTTTGGGGCTTGGAACATGCGACTCAAAGGTGAAGCCACAAAACCTGAGGAGGAGGCGTCACGTCGGAATGAGCATAGGTGTCCTTTTTAGCTGTTTAGGTAGAGAATGCCCTGGTTTCCCTGGGTAGTTTACTCCTCCACCAGGGCCATGTATTTCCCCAAGGACACCTATGGGAATGAGCCTGACCACGTGGTTTCTGGCTTGGGTCGTGGACCAAGGCACCCAGCGGACTACCCCTGAAGTTGGCTCAAGGAGATCCTCCGCACGGTCGGTTGATGTTTTTAGTTTAGCGCCAAGGCGTCTCCCAGTTTTTGCCAGGACACCTTCGCCCCCAAGGGCTGCATGGTACATTGGAAGATTCTTGGACGAGAAGGGCCGGTCACATTCCTAGCGAGCTCCCCCATCAAGTATCATCCTGTCGCGAGCGAGAGGAGTCATACATGGGAACGGGCAGACAAGGGGAATAGGGTGAGGGGGTTGGATCCAATGATCCGGCTTGACAAACTGATCCAATTCACCTCAATGGCTTTGGAAGAATTATTCAATTCGTTTGATGTCCTTTCGGTTTCCCTTTAAAAGATCGCCCAATTCGATTGATGTCGGCTTAATATTGCCTCACGGGCCCCCCTGCTTGATTGATTTTGTTTTGGCTCTCCTTGACTGCGAGGGTGCGCCTTTGCACATGTCCGGAAAGATGTGGCCCCTGGTGGACATTTGTTTTATGTAAATGGGTGTGTCCTCTTTCTGGTGGACATTTTATCTTGATTTATGGGTGTGTCCGCTTTTTCCCTTGAAGGTCTTACTAGCACGCTTGATTTCCTTGTGGCTCTCCGTGAAGACTTCTCCAATTTGGTTGATGTCCTTCTGGTTGCCCCTGGAGGGTTTCCATTTTGGGAGTCTCCGAACCTTTTAGCCTCAGGCGAACTCTCGTATGAGGCGAGAGGGCGGGAACGGGGATCCCTTGGATTCAAGCGGACAGTTGACTCCCATTGGGCACAAGTTCGAAATGTTCGAATTTGGAGTAAAAATTGCCAGGGTTCTTGTTGTGAGCAGAAAAGAGACGTTTTGAGCAGAAAGGGTCTCTAAAAATTGCTGGACATCGGAAAGATCTATGTTCCTTGGCAGTGAACCGTGTTCGCCGAAGCTCCAGCTTCAGATGGGTGGGGTGGGCTCTGACGTCACTTCCATCGATGCTGGCCATTTGGTTTCGATTCGCGAGCGCCACGCAGGCCTCCAGGCCCCAAAGAGATGGAAGGTCGAGTGCAAGAGAAAGCTTTGACCCGAGGGCTCGCAGTTGAACAGGGCTCCTTAAAAGAAGTCTCCATTTTGCTTGCCAATTTGAAACATGTGGCTTTTTCAACACCAAAATCAAGGGACACCACCATTTACAGGACAATCCTCAGGTGAATAATGTAAGGATCCCAGTTGAAAGTGATTCGTGAGCAAGTGTGGATGTTTGAACATTCGTGTCTTTTTTCCCCCTGCGGAAAGCTTCGCGGAAGGGTTTATCATTTGCAGGCTTGCGAAAGGCTCGCAGCCCTACTGGATGCCTTTTGCGAAGTTTTGCAGCTCCATTAATTATGGGCTCTTGTGGCATAGTCACTTGTTAATGTGGACGTGATGCAAAGCAAAAGCAAACTTCAATCTAGCAAGCAGTGTCTAAGACCGCTCAGCTGCAGAATTTTGTTTGCAGAGCCCACGACAGTTCCAGACACCAGTAACATTGTTGGATGCTTATGTGGCATGGCTCTTGTAATGCGCTTCACAAGTACAACAAAGAAGAAACCAAACACACACACACACACAGGCACACAAACACGGGCTCTGACAATGCCAGGCGAAATCCACTTTAAGCTCCGCGGAAGGTTGCGACCAGCTCCGGCCCATGCCGCCCAATCCCGAGCCATTTCAACAAACTCCTGGTGTCGGCGTGAGGTGGCAGCTCTCGGTAGCCCTACAGCTTGCGCGGAGTGCAGATGCCTGTGTCTTCCATAGCTTGAAAAGCTCTACTTGTGTGTGGCTTCGCCGCGTTCGCGTAGGCCAAAACGCATGAAACATCACGCGAAAAAGCACTGTCCGCATGAGCGCCGCGTAGGCGTTTGCTATGTAGACACCAGCAGAAGTTACCCTCGCAGCTGCGCAAGCTCCGCGTGGGCTCGCGTCAAGGGATTTGGTTCGTGTCTCTCGCCGGGCAGCCGAAGGGAGGCCGCCCAATGTTGAGGGGTGGCTTGCGGAGACACACCCATGGCGCTGAAGGGAGCTATTCGAAAGATCACTCAAAATCGCAGAAAGATTCTCTGGAAACATGTTGCTTACCCAGTAAACCAGGGCAGGAGGCGGGTACAGTAGCGCGTCTGCTTGCATAAGGAAAAACCGTCGTGACTGCAAGTGGATGTAGTGTAACAACCCGGGCCCCTGGATAGATGGCGCGACCCAGGTGTTGGGTCGGCGACTTGGAAGCCCAGATAGATGGGCATGGAGTTACCAATGGAGCTGAGGGAAACAAATGGGAGGGCATTCAGGGATGATGGATGGTGTGTTGCGAGAGTCGAGTCCACATTGGTTTCAAATAGTTTAGCAGGGCCTCCTCTGAGTTATCGAAGTTTGCCTGGCACCCAGGGCCTTTTTCCTCATGCATATGTACACATCCATGTAGAAAGGGAGAGAGAGAGAGAGAGAGAGACCACAGGCCAACGCCCATTTGTGTAAAACAAATCCCATGGAACCATTTTCCACAATCAAAACCCGGTAGATGAAGGTTGGCGGCAGTCCCAGGCAGGAATCATGGCGGATATCCGCCTTCTTAATTCTTGAAGCATGATTCTGGGTAGACCATTTTGATACCGAGTTTTGATTGTTCCCAGCCATCCCGATAGCTTTTTAGCCTTTCAGTGTTTAGGGGGGATTTCCGTTTAATCTGCTAAGAGGTGAGCTTGTAGCGCGGGATCTGAGGGCAGCCCTCGCATCGCAGGCGGAGAGCCTCAGCCCGGAAGTTGCGAGCCGAGCCTTTCGAGGCGAGCGAGCTGGGCGTGTGTTGGCCATACAAAGCTTGGTGAAAAGCCGTCCGGGTCCTTGGGTTTTTTGGATGTTCGGGTTCACTGGAAGTTTCCACTCAGCCCACCAAAAGGAAAATATCCAGGGGATCTGAGGAACCCCATCCCAGACCAGTGGCTGCTGCACCTCTGGTCCGGTGCAGTGCCACGCTTATGGCAAAAAATGAGAGCCCTTGGCCCTTGGTTTGGCTCCATGTGATTTGAGCGACCTCGAGAATTGTCCGATGTTCTTCCCAGCTTGCACGCCCCTTTTCCAGGGCTTCAATCAGGTTTCCTCTTCTGTGCCTTTTTCAGCCCACGATGTTCAATGACCCACAAAAAAAACCAACATGTCAAACATGTCTTGTTTTTATTTGCTCCAGAGCCCTTAGCACGCCTTCAATGCCTGGTTGGGCAACCGGCCAAGGAGTATGCAAAGTGCTCTCGAGACGTCTCTTTGGCGATGTCTACAAACGTCACCGTGTTGCCAACTCAAAGTGAGTCATTGGAACTACAGGACATGTAAATGCTGGCTCATGCAGAGTATTGCCTTTGCCCACGCTTGATGTGTTTTGCCTGACTGGTTCCATATCTAGATTCACAAGGTATGAAGCCTGGAGAGCCACTGCTAGGTTGTTAATCAACGATGGTATCAGATGCGCGGGTATGTCCTGAAAAATCAGGACTCCCTTTAGTCAACCGTTTTAAGTAAACGAGGTTCGGCCATGCCCAATTATGCTTAATGCGAGGACATGAGATGCTAGTGGGACCCAGCGCGCGTTCCTTGCTTTGACTGGCAAGGGGTCATCATCAGGAAAATCAGGCCAACGTCTCCCTGTGGCTTCCCCTTACCGAGCCCCAAAGAAGTCGTTGGTACCCGGGCCCCAAAGATGGAGACACGGACGGATCCGCTGCCATGGTTCGCGCGTACGCTCATTTCCTCAGAACTAACATGAAAGCTCCCAGAAGGCCTCTGTAATGTTGACCCCGTATGAATAAACCCCTGTTTGTCAATTTGGGGAGTGTTCCCCTCCAAAAATAATAAGAGTCCCCACAGTTCAACCAGGCACACCCCAAATCTAAAAACAACCCAGGGTGAATATGAATGCGGAGTTTCGACCAATTGAATGGGTCGCCAACTCTTCCACAGGCTCCCTTCGGGCGCGTTTCCACGGAGGGGCCTTGCCCCGTCGCCAATCGCTGGAGGCTGGGAGGTGTCTGTGGCGGCGCCCATCGCCAGCCCAGGCGAAGCGGCAATGGTCGGCGAGGAAAAATCGGTACTGATCGGGTCGGAGAGGTGAACGGATGCTGGCCCCAGACCAAAGGGGGGGGGGGTGGGGGGAGGGGGGAGAGGGGAGAGGGGGGGAGGAGGGGAGGGGGGGTCGCTGGGCAGAGGTTGGGGGTTTGCCTCTTTTGTGGCAAAGTCAAGTAGGGTTCATTGGCCAAGCCTCTGGGGTCAACAACAACCATAGTTCTTGCTTGGAGAAGCAGCCCCCTCGCCACCGCGATGTGTTACTGGAGGGACTGAACTTAGCAAACCCTTTCTCGCTTGTCCTTTGCATTTGTCAGAGGCCCTTTGTTTGGCCAAGTGGAAAAGGAAACCATGTGACGGATTTCGGAGAGGGCCGTGTTGTTGAGTTGTGTTCTCACAAAATTCCAGGACACCACATGTAAGCAAGAGAAAGGAGGCGTAAAAAAAACATCAAAATAGGTCAAACCAGTCAGGGAATTTGGCATTACACCCTGAAATAACATGCGGACAATAAACCTCCCCATGCGTTGTATTAATATAGGTGTGTCGTTTTCAGGGGACACCAACAAATTGTGTTTTTCCTTTAGGTTTCCTCCTTCCTGAGTTCCATGCGAATTTACCGGAGGGTATCGCCCACAAACCTGTTGATTTTTCAACACACTTCAAAGCTTGCCATCTCCAGTTCCGTTGTGTGTGTGGTATTTGGGCGTGTCCCTTTGTGAGGGCACTTTTTGGCTTGGCGTTGTGTGTCGTATTTGGGCGTTTTTTTTTTTTTGTACCTTTTGGCTTGGCTCAACTGGAGCTTCCTTTCGGGTTTGGGTGTCCCTCGGCGAAGGATATCTTTGAACCGCCTCCGTTTGAAAGCGACAGGGCAGAGAAGGAGGAAGCCCAACGCGCCTGCAGCCCAAGGGGTCTGGGTTTGGACGGCTTTCGGAAGGCTTCGGACCTGCTTTGGGAGACCCCCCCAGCCATTTGTTGGGGTGCCCGTGTTGATGTTTGTCAATTTTCAGGTCCTCTTGCAAGAGAAGACTCGGAGATGGCAGTCTGCAAAGTAAGAATCAGCGAGTCAAAGAGACCAACTAAGTAGGTTGGAAGGGTGTTGGGCATGTGTTTTGGGGCCAGTGGAAATGGAAAACATGTTATATCAGCATAGGGATTCTTGCCTCCCCTGCTTGACCCCGGGTTTTGTCGGGGACAATTCATATGAAACACATGGTGCAAGGCTCCACAATCAAAACCTGGGTAGATGAAGGATGACAGTGGGACAGTCCCACCAACAAATAGGTGCGGCCGGTGCTTTATGTTTTACATTGTGTTTGATGCTCTTTCATAGTAGGTTTCCATTGTAGCTGGGAGGTTCTTTTCCCCATCCTGGGAGCTTCCATGTGAGCTGGCAGCGGGTCATGAGAGTTGGCGCGAAACTCTTTTCTTTGAACTTCTTGATATGTGGGGGCTGATCAATATTCCCTTCAAGGCCCCCACTTTTTGCGTTGGGGTTGATTCAGTTTCCCCCACATCCCCATGTAAAGGAGTGATGTCGTTTGGAGTTGTTGTTTGCCTAATTTGTTTCTTGAACATTGTGCTTGCTTGATTGGTTGTTTGTCCATCCGTTCGTGTGTTTGTCCGTCTGTTTGTCCGTCTGTCTGGCTGTCTGTCCTTGCGTGCCTTCAGCCTTTCAGCCTGTCTGTTTGTCTGAATGTCTGTCTGGTTAGTGGTAGACAAAATGTTTGATCAGTTTTTGGCGATTCCATTCAGGTACTCCGTTACAGATTAAGATGGAAACCCCAAAAACACGTAGAGGAAACTCTTTAGCCAATCGGACACGTTTGGGTTCCTTCCATTAATTTGTAGGGGAGTTGGTTTTGTACTCGTCTTTTTCGCACCGAAATGACATGACTGGGAGCCACACGATGTTTTTTTTTTTTTTTCCTTTCCGGGGTGTTTCTTTTGCGAAGGGTTGACAACTCTTTGGGCTTGGAATCCAACAAAGTGTCCGAGTCATTTCCCTTCTTGGACCCTCCAAAAGTGGCGATCGTTTCAATGGACACCAGTACATTGATCAACTTGTGATGGACACCACCAGTACATTGATCAACTCTTGATTTGGGAAACTGGGCGAACACGTCTTTCTTTTTCCGTCCCCTCCCCATGGCCCGCGTTCCGTTTGGTGTCCCTTTAAACCCCCAAGGGAGGTACCCTCCAGTGACTCCCCTCCCCCAGGCATTGGCCCCGAACCCCGGAGCTCGGAGGCCGAGACTTCGGGGACGGGGCCGGGGTGTGTCCATTGGGTGTCCATTTGCTTGAGATGTGTGGGGTCCTTCCATTTGCTGAAATGGTTCTTGTTGTTTTTCCTTTTTTTCTTTTTCTAGAAATCCCCGGTTGGTTTTGAAGGGAATTCGATTTCACTACTGGACATTTCCCAGGGGGCGAAAACGTCAATGTATGTGTGCGTTGTTGTTTGGTTGTTTGGTTGTTTGTTTGTTTGTTTGTTTGTTCGTTCGTTCGTTTGTTTGGTTGTTTCGTTTTGCGGTTATTCTTCCAATTTGAACAACTTGAATTGTGTTTTCCTTCCTCCTTTGAAGCCACTCACTACGTAGTGTCGTACCGTTATGCTTTATGTGAAACAACTCGAATGTCTTTCCTTCTTCCTTTGAAGCCACTGATTAAATAGCGGCTTGCCGATATGTTTTCGTTGAAACAAC